CAACAGTCACGTTTGGATGGATGAAGACAAACGAATACAGTCGAGTTTTCAGGAAAACCACTGAGGAACACGTGACGAATGGAGCCAACTAAGAAAGAAAATACCGCCCAATATTTATTTCACATTTAATGCTAACAGGATATCAGAGCGGGTTAAAACATATATCTTAATCCCCGAACAGCTAAAAATTAGTAAAACATACCTATATGCATTGTTGGTCTCTAAATAATTCAGATATTTTCAACACCACAGTTATGAATATTAAAATCTTACAAAGTACAGTAAAAGGATCTGAATTTGAGCAGATAGTGCTCTAAATTTAAACATAAGAGATGAGCGCATATAAAAGTAGAAAGAATTACCTTTATATGGATTCACTATGAGGATAAGCTTGCTAAGTTCATATTAAATAAATTTATAAACAAATACGAGATATTAATTTCTTTAGGGTCTTAAAGCACTTCATTTTTAAAAAAAAATTTCTAGATTTACACTCAAAAACATCTGAAATAAATTTGCAAGCAACTTAACTTTCCTCTAAAAGTTACCTTTTCCTCAAAGTGGCAAAGTAAAAAGAACTGAGCACAAAAAAATACGTCCGTCACCCGACGATGAAATTGAAATTTATCTGAAATCATCAATACATGCAAAAAAGCTGATAAAAAAAGTTTCAACTTTGCTATCGTAACTGAGGATATTTTTTCGTACATAAACTTAATTTTACGAATTCATCATACGCAGAATTCTGCAAAGGAGACTCTTTCTAAGAAAAAAGGAACCATGCAAACATCAAATGAAAGAACAGAGACAGCGATAAACTTAAAACTGCATACAATTAGTCATCCTGAAACTTCAAAATAGAATGAGTGACAAAGGATCCAGACCTTCACGAAATTTTCTCAGCACTTCAAAAACTCAAATATATGATAAAATTTTCCTAGACTGTTTTGATAGTGTCAATTATGAGTCTAAAATCCAACGATTATGAATTTAGAAATCTAACTGACTCACTTTCGTATATCGAAAAGATTAATTGAAAAACTCATCATTAAATGGATCATTGTTGGAAGTGGTTGAAACAATCAAAGGAGCAGATCGGGTGGGTATACATGGTGCCCGTGGCGAACCCGTCATTACCGCTGTTGCTCCTGTTATCGTTACATTCGCTGTCATCGCGTCCATCGATACTTTTTTCGGTGGAATCACTAGTTCGCTAAATGGATTTTTTTTCAATTCCGAACTGGAAACGAGTGTATCCATATCAACTAGTTTATTGAACGCTTCTTCCAAGGTTGATACCCTCTTCTTTTCTGTCCATTTAGAAAGCATTCTGAAATTCAATACCTAAGTTGTATAAGTTGTAATTACAATAAGATATAACTGAAATTCGAAACTTATTCAAACTAACAAAAATTTTAAAAGCGAAAAGAATTTAACAAGAAGGTCTGCATCAGACAAACCAGAGACTGAATTCACTGCGAATGTCACTCTCTAAAAGGAATTTAGATGAAGCATTTTACTGTGGTTGAGAGAGAAATCAACATATGAACCGATGCAGAAAAGAAAACCTTGAATCAGTGCCTGTTGGCGGTATGGTATTTTCATTTATCGACCAAGAAACTGCCATAGGAAGATGATAAGATGTAGAACTTTTCAGGACTTGTTGAGCTTGATGTGTATCAAATGGATCAAGTTCTATCCTCGCCACAGTGGTACTCTGCACTGATGAGGCAAATGGATTTGTTTCCTGCAAAAAACACATTCCATCAACATATAAAACAATAGTTTATTAGAAGTTACCATAAAAATAATCTAGCAATTATAAAAATACGTTGTAGTTTTTGAGCTACTAGAAATTATTCCATTAATAAACAAACTAAAAATATGTTGTAGTCTTTGAACTACTAGAAATTATTTCATTAATAAACAAACTATTGGTGACTACATTATACCATAAATATGACAGAGCCAATTCAGTCATGCTTTAGCAATCTTGTTTCGTTGTCACCCACTTTAAAACTTTTATGTGGACAACTAATCAACGTATTTGAAATAATATATCCTACATAATTCTGTCAAACCATAGCGATATAAAAACAAACAAACCGAGAAAGCAACTGAACGACCATTTGCAGAGGATGTAAATGCATCAGGATACGACAATAAAGTTGTTAATGGCTGTGCTGAAGGAGAAGATGACTGCTGGGTATCAGAAGCATTTAGCGGAATATTTCCAAGTGGCCGAATTATAGGAAGGGATCGGGGATTGAAGCTATCATCAAAAGGATCTGATGAATTTTTCAGAGCAAATGATGAAACAGGCGGTGGTGGTAATGGTGCAACAATTCCAGTTGATGGTGAGAAAAAAGGTGTTGATGGCTGCAAGTCAGTGAATACATCATTGGTAGGCCAAGAATCCTCTGCGAATGTCGGAATATTCTGCAGTTGATTATAACCTTGCTCAATGTTATGAAGCTCAGATTCCAAGTCTAACAAATCTGCTACCGCAACACCATTATCTATCTTCACACCGTCTACCGTTTTCGATTCCTGCAGAATTAATCATAGGCATATCTGCCTGATGAATTCATAATATTACTGTATAACAAAACATTACAATTCTATCTTACAGTTTACTTCAACTGATTCATCTCCACCATTATAAGCAACTTTTGAAATCTTAATAATTAAGAAGCATAAACAAATCACGTTTCAAACTGAGCAGCAATTTGTTCAACAAAAATTTCCTTGAGAAAAACAACTATCCTTTTGTCAGACTATTAAGGTTTCGAAGCATTTCTTGATGTTATAAATCTTTTAAGTTTAACAAACCCGTTTCTGCTGTTCTTCCTGTTTCTGTTTTACTTCAGCAAGATGAGCTTTCTTCATTTCAAAAACTATTTGGAACATATCACGAATTGATAAAACTGCACGATCAGCTGTTTGAGTCGTCTTAATTCCTGTAAGATTTTTTAATAGTTCATATAGATGTAAAACGATTTTCAATCATTTTCCAAACTTTATGTCCTTTAAAACTTGTTTCAAATTTTCAGACCGCACAATGAACGAATATTAGTAGGAGTAGCAATTCCGCATTCTACCAATAAAAAAAAAAAACAGAATTTAAGTATCATTCACTTTTTCAGATTCTTTTTGATCTCTCTGAAATATTTAGTGTTGCTAGCAGAAATCCAATCCGCTAAAATCTAATTTATAATGGCAGGACTAACCGTAAAATTTATATTTGTTATCTGAACAACTATAAATAAAGCCGAATGCACGTGCATCTGTTGTATCCCGTGCTATGAACGAAATCCGTGAAACGGGAAAATTGTGCAAAACTGTCTGGAAATATTTATATTCATAGTAATCCAGAGAATAATTAAAACTCTGCATAAATCATGAAGTTATGACCACTATGAAGCTATGATCAACGATTAGAAGACTGACCTTTTGAGAAATTACCGGTTAAAGCTATTATTTATTACTAGATGGCATCAACTTACCAAACTGCTCTAATCCCGGTCGAATTAAGAAAACTTTTATCAATAAAATTTTGGTTCTTTTAAAGAGAAGATTAACAGTAAAGCCATATCAATATTTAAATATCATATCAAATTAGGGATTTAAGAATTAATCCTTCATTGCACTACTGTCTCCAATAGCACAACTTTCATAATCTAAGTGCTACTTAAAAAACTCCCACAAAATCATTTTAATGACAAAAATTAAAAAAAACGCTTATTGAAGAAAAAACGCTTATTGAAGATTTCCTTACTGAATAGTCTAGAAATTACTCACTTGAGTTTTTTCATCTTTAACTTTGAGGCCTTCGATTGATATATTCAGAATAATTCGTTGTTTATGATGCCCCGCACTTTTGACAGCTGCTTTCGCAAGTCTCATCGCTTCGGCGCACATTGCGTCACCTCGAGCCTCATCAACGTCTCGAACACCGATTAACTTACCTTTGAAATCTATCCCATTTCCTTGAAATCGAAATGGATCGTTACTGGATAATGCTGGAAAATTTTTTGGGCATTAGAAACAAATAAGTAAAGGACAAATCTATGTATTTTGGTGCAAGTAACTTGAAAGAAAAAATTTTACTTTCTTACATTTATAATCAGACTATATTAATAAAATTTAAGTTTGTGGAGTGAAATGGTTTCAAATACTTAACCTGAATAAGAAAGAAACAACTGAAATGCATCGTTTTATAGAAAAGCGCTCCAACTAAAATGTAGCTTGAGCAATAACTATTTGAAGAAAAGCAAATAGCTTTAAAGTAGTTTCATTCTAGTAAAAGTCGACATTTACTGACCCAACCCAAGACTTTTCCAGATTTGAGTTCTGTTAGCTTGCTAACGGAATCTAGTCTCTCCCCATCATAAAGATTGATCAGGATGACTTGTTGTCTTCCGATCAGTCCCAGTCTTCTAATCCCCTGTTATGATTAGTCAAAAGCTTTAAAGGATAGATCAAGTCACCGAGAAGTGCTAATGCTATTGTACAAACAAACCCAGGCAGAAATGAGCCGAGTAAATGGAATCTTGTAGAAGGACAATGATTACCTCTCGTATTATATGAAACGACATGTAATATTAACACATCAATACAAACACAATTTGGTCATGTCCAAAACATGTATCAAAAAAAGCATTTGGGATTTACGCACCATTCAAGCAATGAATGTCCTGCGATGGATAGCTCACGTGATCACGCATCGAAAACACGCAGATACTTACTGACAAAATGAAACTATTGGTAGCGAAAAGAGAAAATATGAATAATGGAAAAGACCTTTGCACTTGGTGGATGACCGTTTCAGCATCGCCAGTCTTGCCCTCGGCGAGTTCGCTCTGCCACTTGACGACGATCCATGTTGCTGTTGCTGTTGCTGATGTCCTGGTGCACCCGCAACTGCAGCTGCAGTGTTGCCGACACCGCTAGCCATCGTGCCGTCCTGCACTCCCTCTTCCACGCCAAGTTGCTCCTCCCTAAGACGACGTTGTTGCTGGAAGCCGACCATTGCGTCTTTCCTTCTCTTCTTCTCGCGTTCTCTCTGCGTTCCTGTATTCTCTCGCTTTGTAACTCACAGGTTTGCAGCAACAGTTTCAAAGTTTAGTGAAAATGAAAATTATATTTCGCAAAAGTAAATATAAATGTTAAGGTTATATGTTCATCTTTCATTTCTTCGCCTCTCTGAAAAGCCTAAGCTCTCTTTCCTCAGATTCTTAAATTCGAACTTGAAATATTTAACTTCGCAGTTCCGTAGTTATAAATTAATTTAACAACAATTTGTACATATATACATACGACACAACTGCGTCTGACACAGAAAGATTATGATGGCAAATGTTAATTACAAAGAAACAAATGTCTGAAGGGATAGCGTAACGGTATCTCTGCCCGATTTAACACTTTCTGACCGTTTCTTGAACTTCGAGCCGTATTTGAATAAATCCTTCCTTTCCGTCCACTGAGAGTTTATCTTGCCCGAATCATTCATTTCTTTCGCCACTTTTTATTTTATTTAACTTAATATGTATTTTATTTACTTCATTCTAATTTTCATATATATATTTCATTTATTTCATTCCAGTTTTCTTGTTCAAAAATGCTTTTCTAGTACTAGTCAGACATAAATGATTGTTAAATACTGAACAGTGAAACAGTCTTCGTTACAAGCCCAACAGATGAAGAAATGAAAAAAAAAATCAACTTTAAAGAACTTCCATTGATGTTCTTTTTCCCACACTTATTTCTTGCTGACAGGTGATAGCATTCGAAGAAACTCCATCGATACTATAATTTCCACTGATCAGGGGATTAAAGTCCGTTGTAAACTAGACTCTTTCATCAGATTTGCGTTTCCACCATTTTTTTTTTTTTTTTATTGCAATTGCTTTGTTCATTGCAATTCCCTTTCATTCCCCAAAGAATTGTTACCACAATCGATACCAATGTCGAGAATTAAATGCGACTTTTGCAAATTTAGTATATAATGTACCATCGTCCCTAACAATTTAAAAACGATGCATTTGCCTTAACTAAAACACTGTTAACGTCAGTATGCGAAAGACAAAGTCACTCAAAATGTTTATGTTATGAAGGGATTCTTGTAGTACATCAAGAAAAAATGTATTCTTTCCTATGCTCCCAATCCCAATCACCGGCACGGATTAAATAAAAATCTCTTATGTTTATTTTTCCCTAACTATGAATAATTATGTCATTAGCAATATAATAATTACTGTATATCTACCTCGGTCCATACGGTGAAAAGTAAAATTTCAACAATGAGCGAAGTATCATAAGAAATGTACAAATTTTTTATTAAGCCTATTTCACTAATCTACTAAGAATGGTGAGAAATTTATGAAAACACTGTTAAGAAGTAAAATCGAAATTTTTATGAGGTAAAACCAGAAAGGTACATATGCTGTTTTCATGCTGATTTCAAAATTAAGTACATTGTTCTTATTTTTTAATTTTATTCTGGAAGCCAGAATACAATAAATACAATAAATTTCTCAATGATTTGCTTCTCTTTTCATTTCCCCCTAAAAACCAATGGAGAAATTCAGATCAGAAATCAACAATAAATTATCTAATTTGAATAAAGAATTCTAAAAATACCAGTTAAAAAAAATATACATATAAAGACACTATGACAACTGATAATAACAAACACTGATTCAGCAAATAGATATGATTGAGGACACTTATGATGCCGAAAACGGGAATCCATTTCGTGAAAACACTGTAAAAGGTCAACGTGCCAATTACTGCAAAGAGAAGGGGAGCAGATTTGCACTCATTCAGAAGGTTAAAAAGTACCTGATATTGTTGAGCAATGTTTTCAATGATGTATTTGATATTGCGATATGACTGAGACTACTCAAAAATAAAGGAAATGTTTCTGATTCTAACGGTAAGACTCAAGCATAAATGATTAAACAACTATTTGATTTTAATTGCCGGAAAGATTCACTTCATTACACATTTATCCATTCGAATACACCATTAAGCTACAAAAACACAATTAACCAAAGTTATATTTGTCGCATGATTGTCGAAAAACAATTTTGACAAGGTAGAAGACCTGTGGAATTTTTAACAATTTTTCCATGCTTTTCTTCTTTAAAATGAAGCTTTACTAGAAATCTTAAACAGCAATTCTGGCAATGAATAGTTTTGTAATTGAGCATTTACGATTTCTACGCTTTGTTTGAAATCAAATTATCATACAACTGAAAAACTGATGTCCGAATTGTTTCAACAAGCATTAATTTTAACATTTTACATATGCAAGCAGATAAGTGAAACAGATAACTTTACGTCAGATTTTCTGGCAGGATTGAATCGATCAAAAGGTTTCAAAGCGCATTTCTCAATGATGACTAAGTGAATTATTGATGTCAACAAGGTCAACAAATTTCGTTCCAAAAATTTAGAATTTTCTCTATATATCAGCTTACTAAAATAGGTTATATGAATAAAAAAAGGTGCATGAAATGTCTGCCAATTGTCTAATTGCCGCTTTTTTAATGTAAAGGAAATTTGTACCAGTTATCGGAAAAAACGAAATAGTTTTATAATATGTAAGTAATTTTGTTTTATTTGAATATTCCTTAGACAAACATAAAACTCTTAGTTTTATTTTTCATTTGTTCAGCTTTTATCTAAGCTTATCTACATTGTCTAGGAAGCTACAGTCTGTGACAAAGAATATGTGTTTTGCTTAACTTGCTCTCAATTTTATGTTAAGATCTTTTAGTACGACAACCAAACTTATATTCGATTGTCAAAATTAACTTTCGTTGTTATACTAATCCTACTTGTAACCTACTTGCAATATCGAAATATTGTAGACGTCTTCCATTCTTACAAGCAACTGACGTAACAAAGCAATACTATAAAGCAATACTGCTTTCACTTCATAAAGTAAAGATTATTTAAGAGCGAGAATCACTCAAACTACTGTAATCCAATGTCATCTATATAAGAAGTTAAAACCATTGTTTAGGATTAATCTCTAGCAATAGTAAGTTTCAACTCTTTCTACACCCTACCAACCTCAATTAAACGAGAATCTGAAGACAATCCTAATCAAAGCTTAGCACAATTGATTGACTAATTGTAATATTACCGAATAATCCTTCCTTATAACGTCAATCAATAAATGTTTATTCCGAGTAATTTGTTTACATAAACAAATAAACAATAAGGACTTCATCGTCAATCAAACAAAACTAAAATTCCCGACAGGACTGTAGATTCGAAAGGAAAACGATATAAAAAGGGAAAATGGGATGAATTAGAAGAGTGAGACAGTAAAAAACATCCTTGAGATGAGAAAAGGAATCTGAAATGTTAAACAGATAAGAAATGAGAAAAGGAGAATGAATGAGAGAGAGAGAGAGAGAGAGAGAGGGAGGGAAAAGTTCTGTCACTCTATTTCTGCTGTAACTAATAACAATCCTTCCTCTCCTTTGAATTCCATCAACTCACTAATAAACACTGATTGCCGAATATACGAAATCTTTCAATTTAATAAATTTACTATGGACTACCGAGATTCCCCATCTGCATTTGAAATGAAATCCTTGTTTTACTTCAATTGATTATAATTATCCTTACTATGATTATAAAGAGAATACACCAAAATTTTCTTTTTAGAATTATCTAAATGAATAGCAGAACAATCGTACCAATCAACTGTGTGCAAAAATCCTGTCCATAATATTTAAATACTTTACAAATTATATCAAACAACAATGATAACATCAGAAATGATAGTTCGAAACAGGTTCTGCAAAGCAGCGATTTATGGTAATAAAATTCCCTTCTTCATGAACAGAAATATTTAAGCCTATGAACAACTAACATCATACAACACAGTTTTCAGCTAATTCTCTCCTCTCCCTTCTAATAGCTAATTAATATTCGAAAGAAAAACTATTAAAATTCCATACAAACAGAAAAGAATAAAACTATTGGAAGTATGAAATATGCAAAAGAAACAATCAAGTTGGATGTCTCTAAAACTTTTATCAAAAAATTTGAAAAATTCGAGTAAATACTTGGACTCAATTTTGTCAGTACGTAGAAGTTATTACATTCGAAGGAAAAAAAGACGGATTTTCTTGGTAAATGGATGATGAAAAAGACAAAAAGTAATGCCTCGACCAGAGCAGAAACCGGTCCCTCCATCCATCAGACAGACATATTCCTGCAGCCATCTCATCGAATTTCAACACGATACGCCGAAACAAATGCACACAGTAACAAATGAAGTGAGCTGCTTATTTGTGAAAGAGAACAAAACAAAGGTGAACACCAAGGTACCAAGGAGCGGTGGGGACTATACCTGTCTTAATTTACCACAAATTGCTTAACTCACCGCTAGTTTACAAAGCAAGCACTAAAAGCACCAAGATAATTTAGCAAAAATATCCCAAGAATAACTACGCACGGCAAGCACGTAATAAGCTCACTGATGATAATAGTCACAGGTAAAGAGTGTAATATATATATTTCACTTATATGCTTAGCTTTTAGTTTAATTTTGCATTTGTCTACTAATTTAGTTTCTAGTCCAATAACTAGAAAATCCTTGAAGACGAGAAATCGTTTTATGGATAGGTCGCAGCTCTTTAAATTGGAATTTAAGAAAGACCTGATAAAAATTGATGTTAACAACCTAGTATTAATATCCTTAACTTTAGAAATTTGAGCTTTTTCTCATAAGAAATAAAAGGAAAATATGAGTAATACCTAAAGTAGTGAAATGTAATGTGCGGAAGAATGAACTCAGAATCCAAAAAAAAAACTCTAATAATTTAAGCTATGGCTGATATGAAATGTTGTTCGGACATTATTCCGCTTTATAAAGGGCCCTTAATGGTCAGATGAAAATTCAATCTCAACATTCAAAATAAAAAAAAAGCAGAGTAGTTGCAAACTAAATTACTTGGAGATTATCAGTTATGTTTCAGTGTATGAAATTGAAAAGTAGGAAAGCCAAGACTCGACAGTGTTAAAAAAAAGAACAAATGAAACATGACAGGAAAACAAATAAACAACGTTTAATAGTTGAAAAAGCGTCAATAGCTGGCGATTAGACCAGGAACACTGGTCAGGTTAACAGCGCTGTTTCAAATTTAGTATGCTCTTTCTTGGTTTCTGTCACAAAATATCTAGCCCATGATGAATCAATTAAATAAGCTGTACTTCAGAAAGCGTGCCCAAAGGCTAAAAAAGCTAAACCAGGTTTTTCATGTCTTATGACACTGAAAAAGACAAGACATTATTTCACTCTTAATGTAACTTGAGAAATGTATTCGATTGATCATAATGATTTCAAAAACAAATGTAAATTACAACAATCCCACTTAGTTTCAAGATAAAGTTATCTTGGATAAATACAGAACATGGGTTGATATGATAACTGATTTACTGATAGATTTTCCACTAATTTTACACCAACTTAAATCAGATACAAACGGAGCAACTGCAAGTTTTGAAAACAGAATCACAATCCACGCTGAATACTTTTAGCACTTGCACAGAATAGCAAATAGCAAGTTTTCATTTTTTTCCATTTACAAAAATTAAAGACAAATAGTTGGGGGTGAAAGATGCTAAGTGACCAAAGCTGGGGACGTCTTGCTTCAAGTCATACAAATCGATCTGCAGTTTCCAAAATCGATTGAAGATGGCTGGCTGATTGATTGGCGAGTTGTAGCGGATGAAAAAAATGCGATAAATTTGGGAGGAAACTTAGAGAAAAGCGAAATGCGATACGATTAGATTCCGATTGTGGGTGGAGGATGGATGGAAAAAAGAAGTCGCCAAATCATCGTATGTGATACAAATGGTTGAGATGATTGTAGAGAGAGAGAAGGATGAAATAGAAGGATAAACAAAAGGATGGAGTCATACCAGTGCATGTCCAGAATTAACGATCGTAATGATGATGACAGCATCGATGGCGAATTTAAACACGCCATTCGAGCTTTTCGGTTAAGCGGTCGAACGAATAGACTAGTGAACAATGAACTGATTTGGCAAACGGGGAACAACAGAGGAACTAATTGATTGATGAGATTAACGTAGTGAAGCGTATGCATACCAGTTTGCAGGTTCATCCTTTCTTGAAAATTCAGTAGAAAAAAAGGACTGAAAATTTTATAAGGTACTAGAATATTTTGAAGATTGAACAAACACAGACTTTCGCCTATTATAAGAAAGATCACATCGACAGAGAAATCCAGGTACGGAGGTTAAAATGTGATGAATGTAAATTTCGAAGAACAACGTGGAAAATCTGTTAAAGTGCTTGAAAATTCTTGTATTTTTGCTACAAAACTTAACAGAGACAATTTTCTTATGGTAATAATGAAATGAGAAGAGCGTATAAATTTAGTCATATATGACAAATTAGTTGTAAGAAGAACATCAAAATGATAAATCTGTTCAAAGGAGAATTGTAGAAAAGTAAAGCTCAATTCACGTGTGCGTTTGCTAGGAAGCTACATGGATATGAAGTAAGCGATATTTTAAAAAACTTGTAAAATAGGACGTGTTCCATAGTTTTTTGACATATTTTGACAAATTTCCAGTCAAATTCAAACAGATTTTCTCTTCAGCGCCATGCTTTTTCTCTCGAAACTAAAGGGAATCATCAAATTGTGGATTTTGGTATACTTATTTCTGATCTACACATGGCGTTGTACTAAGCTTTGTTTTGGTTACCAACACTTCTTGTAACAAGATACTATGCGAAGTTTCCTTTCGGACCTCAGTGTAATAGAAAGTTGTCATTTAAACATACGAAAGTCATATGTACTAAGCGTTAACATATGATGCGCTTAAAAAAAAAAAAAAAAAAAAAAAACTGTCCAGATCCATTTTTCTTGACATTCCACAAAAAGCCGTGTTTAATGTGTTATTGAATTTGAGCATTCACAAATGATTTTATCGCTTCGTTTATTTCTAAACAATTTTTTCTCGTACATACCGGAGAAAAAATTGTTTTGTGGAATTAAACGCAAAATGAAATGAAGCAGCTCGCTGATACAATAAAATCCGACCGATCAGTAATTTTTATTGGGGTAATGAACTACTCGTATAGGACTAACAGTCAAAGACAATACCAAGTTTTGATGAGATAAGGAGTGACAACTATTTCTCAGCTTGATAATGGAATCCATTCAGATTATGAAAACATTAAATTAAGGTTAACGATTCAAACTTAAATAAACATTTGTTTTTGAAATGAACTTAATATATGAGATGTAGAAATATTCTTGATTTCGAAATTTAAAAAAATGTGCAGAAATATTTCTGCGGCAAAATTGTTGCAGAAACTATTCTTCAATACTTCCACTTACATCTTCCTAGAGCTGCGATATTAGAATTATTTTCTGTAATTTTTGGGTGTAAGCTAAAAGATACTTGGAAATATTCCTAATCGTTAGTAAAATGTGATCTTTCTAATTAATCGAAGAAGTTAAATGCTTGACAAAGTTTATTTAACCTAATAGAACAAAGAAATCGGATATTTTTAATTTTTATTTAAAAATTCTGTACATAAAAGCATGAGTCACGGGAATTAGCACGAATTTTCAAAATTTCAATAATTTCATGAAACGATCCTCTTCTATTGGCTTTACTAACTACTACGTTACGCAGCATCTCCATAAAATAGAAATAAACCCTCAACAGAAGGCTAATAAATGTCATAAATTGAATATAGCAAAGAGGAAAAGAGAAGAGTATGGCCAAAAAGATAAACAAATAAATGTGATCATTGCACCACGGGCTGATAGTTTACAAGTTTCCGATTACATGGTGCTGCCGAAGATCGCCAAGACTTCTTGATTCAATACGTAACAAAATGTATATAGAATAATAGCAAGTTCAATTTAATTATTTACTGGATGATAGGAGTAAAACTTGACAGACCAAGTTGAAATATCACTTTTACTACTTCGCACTGAACTGAAAGATATTTGAAAATACATAATTTAAGCTTAATAATTCAATATGATCAAACGCATTAGCTAAAAATTGGGAATACTAGAAAAATTGAGGATAACATTGAGGCTTTTCAAAAAGATTTCGACTCCAGTCGATGACACTGCACAATACAATGTTGCGAATTAAATTGAAGAGAGGCGATTTCACTTAATCACAATTAAGCATTGTCGTAACTGTAACGATGACAATTTATGCAGCAGAAATTTTAATCGGTCATATAGTACCACTTGTAGCAACACGATGACTGTGATATACCACCGTTATTTTAATCAAAGATAAATTATGTACTGCTGCAACTTTCTGTACCATACCAGTCATTTCGTTTCAAGAAATAATGAAATATTGCAGTTATTATTAAAGACAGTAAGATATAAAGTCAAGCCATGTTTGTTTGAAAAGATAAAGATTTTCCTAAATTCATCTTTCAATAGGCTTACTGAAATTGTAAGTGACAACCCTTAAGTTCATTGAAATATGAAAGAAACATTTCTTCACTGTTTGATAGGGAGCAATGCTCGTTTTAAGCAGTTATGGAATTTAAACTTCTTCTAGAAATCTCCCTTCTTGAGTTTTCTGGACATACATCGAGTAGTTACTTCATTTCCAAGACGATATTAATATACACATAAGCAAAGATACGGCTTAAATTGATAAAAATGAATGGTCAAAAAGGGGTCGCAAACAAAATGAAAAAGGATTCAAAGAGAACAAAAAGTTGATTTTCAATACATTAACCATTGTTTAATATGTTAAAAATTGCTCCCTTATTCCAAACTAAATCTACTTGCAATGTTGAAATATTGTATTGTAGAGGTTTCCTAAGCTAACAGTCATTCTCATCATTAACTGACGTACCTTCAAAACCCAACCCATACCATATACAAAATAAAAATGATCTGTTTATTTACTGTAATCATTGCTTGTAAGCCAGTGACCGCTATATAAGGACTTCAATCTTCTGTTTCATAGTTTCTAGAATATAATTCGTTTGCTTTCTCGCTCACTTAATTCAATTTAATCTAATTTAAATCATTTAATTTTCCCAATAATTTATTTCTTCCTCTTTATCTCATACTGGAAGACTTTCAAGTCTTACCAAATTATCAGTATTGTTGTTATACACTAATTCTCGACAATTATAAAAAATATATAGGAATTATGCAACACCATCATTAAAAGTGAGCAAGCTACAAAAGTGGGACTGAAAAGGATATAATTTTCTTTGGAAGGATAAACAATCACTCGTTGAATATTTTTATTCATTATTTATCAAAGTACATACAAAGTCAAGATTAAGAAAGCAATCATAAAATACCAAATATGAATTCCTTTCAGCAATCACTTATTTGTTATATTGCACTTTCTACTTACTTAATAGTAATACGAAAAATGTATAAAACTACATGGACTACAAATATTAATTTCCATCAAAGCTCAGTGAAGCAACAATGCATTTCGATTTTGTCATTTAACATCTAAGCAATTCACGTAGAAAAGCAGTTCACCAATTGCTCGAAAAACAGTTAGCATAACAAACTAGATACGTATCCATTTCATATTTCGAAATAGCATGAAATGAAGTATTGCAAAAAAAAAAAAAAAAACGACACTGAAATAAACAGGACAAATAATTTGTAAATAAATATTGCTAACTTGCAAAAGTATATTAGTAAAGTGGTTAAATGTCCAATAAAAAAATCTTAAATTTTCCATTTAGGCTTAAACCAATCATTTTTACCAAAAATATATTTTTTACTTCTCATAATTTTTTTTTTCTTTTGTATATATAAATACATATTTGAAATAAATGAATAAAACATCCTACACTCCTTTTTCTTATTTTTTCCTTCTTCCCATTTTTTCCTGTCTGAAGCAAATATCTGTGATTATCAACTTCATCAAAATTCTGCAGCCTGCAGTTAAGAATACACTGTCAAATTTTAACAGAGCGAAAAGATTATTTGCCATATTCAACAATTAACTTGGGAATTTCTCATTTTTATTTTTAGCACATCTTAATTATTGCTCAAACTTTTCAGAGACCTTTCAATCAGTTGTCGATGACTAATTCGTGTGACACCGAGCTGCGTTAACAATGATCGATCAAAGGATAACAAATGAGTACCGTCAATTCGAAACTGCTGGAATTTCCTGGAATGTTCCGAAAGGCCTAATGTTTTTAGCCATGCAACAATGTCATCAGTTGTCCAGCTTGCCACTTGTTTATCGATAAAACTGTTACTCATAAGCGGACTTGTGTGACTACCTGCAAATATTATTATAATATTAAATTCAATGAAGTACGAGACTGAGAATTTTTAATGCTTAAAAATCTCCAACTTGAAATGTATTTCTAAGTCGTAAATGCAGGAAAGAGAAAATATTTAAGGAACCAGCTAATTTCAAATTGCCATACAGACAGAAGCACGAAGGAATAAGGCAACCGGAATCGAAGTGATCATTTATATAAAAAGGTATTAGAATTCTAGCAAAAATAAAACTATTCTAAAAAATGAACAACATGGGCCTCTATCCAAAACTGTGTAACATCACAATGCAATTTCAAAATGTTGAACAATAGTAAGCTTTCTGACATAAACAAATACGAGCAAACAGATAGGAACAAAATTTTCATACATACAGAACATCGATGAAATAAATTTCTTTACAGCTTACTAGATTTTGTCGCAGCGTCGTTATCGGAGTCACCAGTACCGCTGTCCGGTTCATCGTCATTGCAGTCAGTTGAGGGAGTTACTGAGATTTTGCAATGAGATGTTGACAATAGGATAGTAGACAATGTCCGCTGTTGACAATCCGTTGATGATTGTCTACTTAACGTCGACAGTGTGGAGTTCAAGCTCATCTGGAGAGAAATTCGAATTCCAGAAAAAGTACAACGGGGTAAACTGAACAAAGACTGACACACGGAAAAAGGCGAAATAATGAATAACAAAAAATAACGAGAAGTTCAGGTGTGTTAAGATAAGCCATCTTAGGATAGGATTTTTTAATAAAACTTTCTGCCTAACATTGTTTCTGATACGAGTCGTAAAATCGTTCGAGTTATTTAACTTAGTCGAAAATTTCGAAACATATGGTGTTCCAGTTCTCGTTTCAGTAGTAAGTTCTCTTGACCTCCCTCCTTGAGAAAACTTAAAAACGAAAATTGTAATTGTCCAAAAGTGAGTTGCTTTAAAACTACATGCTGGCTTTTTTGTAGAAAGACTTCCAAGGCTGCATTAAATTTTAACTTTTGTTATTTCAAATCGGAGGCGAAACTGATTCACTAGATGCTAATAGCAGTGGTTCGGAAACATTTTCTGCAATGGTTGGAAAACAATCGTGCAATGATTTATTAGCATTCACAAAAAAGCTTTTGATTTCATTGCGTTCAATAACATGCGACAAGAGAAGGTTGAGCAAAAGTAATTCAGTATAGCTGAAGGATATACGAAGCTTTTGAAGGCCTAAAATTGCATCGTACCTACCGAATCATGATCGCTGACCGCTTGAGCTAACTGTTGAAGAGGTGGTGCTACCTGCGATAAACAATTACTCTTCCTGGTACACGTAGATCCACAAATTTCTTCAAACTGATTACTAAGCAACGAGACATGACATGCGGAACTGGCACCAGCTATGCCAGTGGTTGGTTTCGTAGATCCTGGTACCGCAATTATCGTAGCACCTACTGATCCAATTTCTTCACCGCATTCTGATGGTTCAAGCGAAGTGCGTGACGATGTATAACTGAAAACGGAAATTGTAAGTTTTTGAAAGACAAACAATCGCAATTTCAAAATTATGGCGTCTTTCGAAATAAGTAATAGCATTCGAAGTATGATGACAGGATATCCCGTCACCGGTGCAATTTATGAAAGTGTAAAAGACATAAATATTTTAACAAGTGACTCACCCGCTATCTTTTTTTGATGCAATACTCGTTGGAGAATGCTCTGATTTCCCAATCTCCCATTTTGTTGAACTTGGAACACTTTGCCGGACTGATTCGCACAAACTTAATCCACCGTAACTACTACAAAATCATTTATTTTTACAAAATATCTCTTCTTCCTCTAACAGATCGAGCTCTCAAATTTTTAGAGTCAAATCATCTGAGGATAAGAACTTCGTATACCACGCATAATTCAAGAAGGTATAAAATATTTAAAATAAACTAGGGAGATCAAACCTGATCACTGTGGCTACAGGAGGATTCTCCAGCAAGAAAACTACTTTTTTCGATGCATCATTACTACCACTTTGAGCAACCTAAAATTTCCCCATATTATGATGGAAATTCAGCGAAGAATAAGCTTTGCAAATAACAGGCCAGTTCATCATTTTCTATTAAAAAAAGCCTGCCTTGCCTCTCCTTTTTGCCAGTGCATTACGTAGATCAGAATCAAATCCACGTGGCACGGTTGCACAGTAATTAGCTGGTTCACGTCGTATGGTAGGTTTCAATTTTATTGTTGACAAGATTTCACTACTGATAGCAGGAGTTCTTGTTTCTTTTGATTCAGATTCTCCATCTTCATCATCATTTTTAAAAGACTGAAAATTAATTTGATTCTTTTCGAAGAATAAATCAAAAAGTTCTTTATAATCAGAAGACTTCTACAATCCATTTAATTAGCACTATCTGCTAGACCGTCGCAATAATGGTCGATATAATTCTAAACAAGTTGTCAAAATAGCTAATCTATTTATACTTTTATATGCGTGCGCTGAGAGAATAGCAATTCAGTTGAAAAAATTTGTCCTAAAAAAAATACCACAGATTTTGCTGCTGTTGCTGCAGAAGACTGGAGCAGAGGAAGCGGTGGAGGAGGAGGTGGTGGTGGAGGTGGAGGTGCAGCAGGTGGAGATGAAAGAGTCGTTTCGATTCGAGGCGGAGATGTTAGTGTTTCTGCAAGAAAAGTGCTCGACATTGCTGATGTAGGTATTGTCGGAGGTGTGCTATTCGTTAAAGTATTACCATTATTCGAGGACGATGATGGAAAGTTATCAAACAGCGGTGGAGGTGGTGGAGGAGGTGGTGGTGTTTTGGGTCGGTCGATGGACTTAAAAGGACGTGAATAGTCTGGAGAAATGGCACAGCCACGTTGGCTAACTTGTCCATTAAAAGAAATCAATGAGGGCGATTCATCATCCACTGATCGAGGCAAATCTGTAACAAAACAGAAAATTTGAATGCTTAAATAATTAAGATAGCGCCAAAAAAACCATTTCAAATTGAAATCTTTTCCAAATTTTAACTGTCGTGGTAGTGCAATGACATAATGAGAACAGAAAAAGTGGTTTCGATGCACAGCTAATCGCTGATATCCAAAACACTTATCAATCACAAAAGATGAAAACAGTTGATATATATATCAGCCACAAAGTGATAAAATCGAATTTTTGAAGAATTATCCAAACAATAAACCATGTTTTAATTATTAGTTATAAGTTAAAATTTCTGATGAAGGAGAAGAACAAGTTGGTCTTTTATCCAAATATTGAAAGTGAAATATTTTATTTCTGCGTCTTTGATTCGAATAAGAAATTTTATTTCTTGAATTAATTCTTGAAAGCTTTAGAAAGTTAATGTTAAAAGGAAAGAAAACTTAATAATGACCTGGTGAAGAATTAAAGCTTTGTATTACTGACGGAGCACAATGGTCGTTACCAGCTACAGGTGGTAAAGTTGTTCGATGTAAGCCACTTTTTTTGTAACGTTTTAGGTCATTCACTGAATTAAACTTCAAACTATTTCCATTTGGCAGTGAATCCTGTAGCCAAAGTTAAAATAATGTTTAGAGAAAAGTAAATAACAAAATTACAAAATAAGTTCTCTGAACAGAATGCCATGAAGTGAAAAATGAGAAATAACAGTGCAATTTCAAAAAATTATAAGGTTGCAAGATGGAAAATGAAGTGAAAAAACCTCATTTATGGGGATGGGTTGAAATTGCGAAGTACATTGTCCCTGTCGTTCCATCAGTCGTTTCAATTCTTCCATTGAAATACGTTTAGAACTACCAATTCGTTGTTTTACGGACGCAAATCGTTCGTAATTACTTTGATTTAGCGTTTCTACCGATTTAGTAGAATGCAAGGGAAGCAAACTATTACCATAACCATACATGTCACCTATGTTACCTGCAAAATTCAATAATTAGCACCATTAACTCTCATTTAACATTATTTATAACTATTTCCAATAATCATATATCCACATTTTAGTAACGAATAAAGAAGTGTGAAATGACTTCTAATCAACTGCAATAACTTGAAATTCAAGAATGATAATAAAATAGTTATGAAGGGTTTCAAATGTTAAATAACACAATTGCTAAAACTTTTTTTTCCATTAATATGTTCTACGTTTTAGTACTCCTAGCCATTCATTCCCAATAATATTTTTTGAATTAAGAATACTTCAAAATCGAAGCATTAAATTTAATGGATTTTTGAGATAATCCAGGACTAAGCAAATACCATATGTTTAAAGATAACATTGACACTTGAAGGTATGAATATAGCATGAAGCATGCGACACGATCAACTGCTCTGGATTGAAAATAGCATCATTAACTTTAATATATATATATACCTACACTAATACCTATACTAATTTTACGATCTTTGAAAAGCCGAGGTTGACATTTTTGACAAGCAAGGAAAAGTAGAAACAACGATCATGTACGACCATGGAAAAACACTAAAGGTGCAGGTGATTTCAAGAATTCTGTGAATAGTGAATGAATTTAAACATCGACTGGCATTATACGCCTTTCTGCTATTGGACTACAATACAAACCACTTGAAAGAGATTTCCTTATTGTTCCAGGTTCATAATGACTTGTGGAGTGGACTTTTTGGATATCCGCTAAAAATAATAAAGTAGAATGAATTTACCACTGATGCGACGATTTCGACGTGGCAACGAATGGCTGATATACGTTTTGTCTTGTGGCAGCATTGGTGGACGATATTCCCGAACTATAAGCGTTTACATGCACAACAAAAGCATGCTGATTTGAAGATTATATCACTTTTTAAAGTGAGAATGAATGTGGAAAAAATATAACTAACACAAGAAGTGATAACTGGAACCAATGAATAGGTTTTTCGCGAAATTTTTTTAATCAATGGTCGTAATGTGCAAAACACTTCCTACTTAATTTAGTCATTACTGCTGATTTTAAGAATGCCATAAAAATATTATGCATTTTCCATCAAATGCTATCTTGATTTATAAAGCACAACAATAGAATACAAACATTTGCCCTATAAAAAGCTGCAATTTTTTGTCAATATTAAGTTTAGCTTGATTTCGACGACTTTAAGACAATCTGGTCATTACTGATATCATATGATTCAATTTGCAATTTAACATAACGAGCAGAAAATTTGACGCAGTAGGCTCCTTTTTGATTTCTATCGGTGTTTTTTGCACTCATTTCAATCATGTTAAAATAAATAGTTATTCACGAAACAATAACAATTTATTTTATCTTACACTTAAAATGATAGAGCTAAGAAAAAAACAAAAATAAATGAAACATATAATACGAGCTTCATGTCGCTTAAATCATTATGCGACATCTCTAAAGTTGACATTTATTCAAAAAGTTTAAAGTTTAAAAATTACTAACCTGTGCGAGAAATATTCACCGGCATCGTATGAGAAGGCGGAAAACTAAATAAACCAGGATCGACAGTAATCACCTGAATAAAATCCTTTCGAAAATTTATTAAATCAGTCTTTTTTTAAATAGAAACATTAGCTTGAGAGAATCGCTGTACAACAATCTCTGCACTTCATATCCTATCTTTATCAGTGAATAAGGAACAGAAATACCGTAAATACCGTCCTTCATCAAATGATAATGGAGTACGCAAATAGTATAACTAAGAGAAAATATATCCAGGATTTGTTCAAATACTGGAGAACAACATGCTTAAAGGAAAAGAAAATTTGACCTACCTTTAACGTTACAGTGTCTCCCGAAGACTGTATTAATTTATGCACTTGATCATGCGGTGTTCTACGTACATCAATATTGTTCACCTGAAGCAAGAAATCACCGGGTCTTAGACCCGCTTTCATAGCCATTCCTTGCAGATCAATCCCTTCGAATTTTTGCAATGCTGGATTCAACAATGTTGGAATAAAGTTTCCGGCTTCTGAACATATGTAGTAGTAGTTGACTTCTTCAATGCAAACTAGATAACTATGAATTAAATTCAGTCTTGATTCATTATAAATTAATTTCGATTTTAAAATATTTTTTCTTCTCATTCCGATTTTCATTTGTTTTAAAAATCAGCATTTCAAAGCCTACAGTAAGTTTAAAATTTATGTCACAATTAGTGAATTTATTTCTTTGTTCAGTTCATATTCGTTTTAATTTTGTACACAAGTTAACATATTCCTATACACATACACAACAAAATAATTGTGAGGACAAACTTGTAGCGCCTCGTAAGACGAATCCGAAGCCACCCTTACTATCTCGCGGTATTACGATAGTGCGTGGTATGTTAATCCTGGAAGCATACTGCTAAATGAATTGAGTAAATAAGAGCCTTTCAAAAGAACCAGTTCTATTCATTTTATAAAATAAACAAATAGTTAAAGACGATCACTGGGAATTTTTTTTTGATTCGTTTTGTATGTACAAAAAACTTTTATACATATAAAAAAAACATCTAAAATCCGATATTTCAACATCTATGCAGTGTTACGCAAGCAATTTTACACGTTTCCAGCGCAACCATACATTCCCAGTTAGACTATTTTAACGTTAAATCACTTTATTAATTTGCCCTAAGTTTTTGATTACTTAGAATGTTTGCACTTAATTAATAAATGAGGCGTACTCAAAACCATTGATGTTCATTAGGGGGTAAGCTGGATATCGTCGCATTGTACTATATCCACCATCAATATCCCCTGGACACGTTTTATAACTGGATATTGACATATGGCTTGGTGTCGGGCTGGCCGGTATCTAAAAAAGTCAGTACTTTTGAAAGCCATCCAAAGACCGAATTATCAATTTTCAAATTGTTTTACTTTGTTTAACACCAAAAGATCAAAGAAGTTCGATTGAGAAGTTGGATGACATTATAATATCACATATTAGATAATAAATTACTTTCATTTTTCACTTTTGTTCGATATGTAGAATTAAAATTATTATCAAAAATTTTTACCACAGATCGATATTCACTGTTGCAAAGTGATGCCCGACTTGAGGATCGTTGACTAGGTAATATCGATGAACGCCTTCTGGGATTAAAAGTCGGCTTCACGTTATAGGGCACTGAAAAATTTTATGCTGGAAGTCAAGCCAATTTTACCATTCTCAAACTGATAGTATCGACTCTTTGGGTAAAAGTCAAAATGTAAAAGAATAGGAAGAACTCCAGTATTTTATTCCTAAATATAAATCGAGAAATGAACAGATAATTCTTGATCTCTAAAATCTCGACCATACTCTCGATCATATTAAAATCACATGACCAAAACCGAGCGTCTGAAAATGTTTTGACACGGAAAGGTCGAAAGGTCGATCGGGTCCTAAATATGTCAGGTTCCTAACAAAGGTAAAGATCTCTGAAGAAATGATTTTGGATTTATTTGCAAAGATGCAACAAACCAGTGGATACAGGGTCATGGTCCAAAATAACTTTCGTTATTTCATGACAGCCAAGAATCTGTGCCACATCTAACGCTGTCTGGCTTTGCTTATTCATAACTGTTGGATTAGCACCACGAAACAGTAATAAACGTGCGCAATTAGGTCTGAAAAATTTTTCAACTAGTAAAATCAAATTCTTTTTGAACTAATGAAAACAGATATGTTATATTTTACCCTTTATTTCTTTTTAGATCAAGAGAAATTAGATTTATTGAATGCGAGCTTAATTTCATTAAAATTTTTACGTCCCAAGAACGCAAAAACTTGAAGTCTTATAAAATTTTTTTTCCAGCATTTTGTAAATCCGTTTTTTTTTTTTTTTTTTTTGTATATGGAGTGCCTGTAGCATATAGATTCGGAAAAAAGCGGAAAGAAAAATCAAAACTAATCACTTATTATGAATTGCGCAAATATGAAGCGGAGTATTCCCGTTGATATTCTGAGCATTAATTTCAGCTCCATAGTATATCAAATAGTCCATATGTTGCACCAAACCATTCTTGCATGCCTGAAAAAAAAAAAGAAAATTGTTGCTTTTTTTCATATTCTTAAAATTTCGTCTGAAAAAATTTTGACCAATAAATTGGACGAAAAAATAATTGAGCTTAAAAGAACAAATGAAAATGAATTAGAAAAATAAATAAGAAACAAGGAATTGTATAAGGAATTTAGCTTGGTATTTTAATTCATTTTAAAAGTTGCTTAATATTTGCAGTGATTAGAACATGAAGTACGCTGAAATAATATTTTATCGTTTCGATTGAGAAATCTTCTTAAATTCCAAGGAACTGAGATTATAAATATTTATTCTCATGATCCGAGAGAAAATTTTAGTGGAACTTCTAAATTGGAATAAATTCTGCTCTTCTTATAGGTATTGAACGAAGCCATTATTTTTGTTTTGTCAATAAATCCTGAGGTAATAGAGAAGATGTATTTTCATTTTGGATTTCTTGTTATAAGCAATACTTTATTTCTTAATTCTAATCAGTTAGTATTAAAGAAGATAGTATTTACTGTACGGATAATATTACACAAGTAATGTTGTTTTTGCTGTTTCCGTAGTTGAAAAGCATTCATAGACTATTTAAATTTTCGAGTTATTCTTTTCTCGTCCTTAAGAGATTCTTTGCTATATTTAGCAGGGACATCTTAGCAATTATCACTGAGAGTAAAAGTGATTGCTATGTATAAACAGAAGTTTATTACTTTAAGTTTATCGCATTTGAACAAATCTAACTTTCAATTTGAAATTAGAAAATCGATCTCAAAAATAGAAAGTGTTTTGTAAACAGAAAGGTTAATACATCTATTATAAAAGTTGTAAATGCCCACTAAAGCAACACTTGTCATATATTTGCATAGTGATTTCATTTGGGTAAGAATCGGAACAGTTTAGTAAATCGAATAATCCGCGAGAATCATCAAGAGTTATAATACTGATGTGTAAAGAAGAGTAATCCGTAACAAAAGCCTTTACTGAGTGTCATATATTATGACATATATATCTCCTTATTTAACAGAATAAAATGATAAAATAAGAAATTGTTTTTTCATAAAAATTTTTCCTTTTCGGGAAATGAAAGAGTTTTTTGAGAAATGTCAATTATCTAGTGGATGACGGCAACAAAACTAACATAATAATATGATAAATTGGCTAATAGAAAGGATAATGTTAGCATAGGTAGTAACGATCGCGTTCATACTATTAATATTTTTCTCTAATTTTGTTTTCTAATTTGTTCATGCTAACGGGGAATAATATTTGTCGAAGACAAGAACGAAACAGTATTTTAAAACGTAGAGAATTCAGAAATAGAAAAACTTTTTCTCATTAAGTGTCAACATTTAAGTCATGGTGATTACATTATTTTGCTTAACAAAATGAGCCAAATCTCTTTAACAAGTCTAGCTTGAAGAAAATTACTGCTGATTAGATAGATAAGTATCAAGTACATCAGGTACAGCCAGATGCTTTCTGTTTTCCTCGAGGAATACATCTTCGAAAGGAATCGGTTTTATCACATTTCATATTCTCTATAATAAATTCGAATATTACTTAGTTGCGTTAGTGACTGTCCAATACATTTCCTAGTTATGATATGATCAAAAGGATAGAATAAAATTCCCATTTAAAAGAAATTACTGATTAGGTATTGCTAATTCAGACCATCCCATCTTCATCAATTAACAGGTATGTTTTCTCCACACTTTTAAAGTTTCTACAAAATGGCTCACGTCAGAATTTCATGTCTTTGTCATTTTTCTTTACCCCAACTCAAAACAGATTTGTCAGATATTCTGACAACAATAACAACCACTCCTATCTGAATTGTAATTTTACGACTCACAAATTCTTGAAGTGCGGTATTCTATATCACACAGAAGTGCGAAGCATGGCATTTTTTATGTTAAAGCAATATTCTTTCATTGTCATCGAAATCAGTCTTAATGAGAACAATGAAATTAAGACGAGTAATCCTGTTTATATAAAAAGATGCGTGTATAGAATATCTTGCTGTTAAAATTGTTTTTTTTTGTCTAATAGATTTTGAAAATGGAAGAGATTTTGGATTAAATCTGAACTGATAATGTAAACGGATAACGCGAAGAAAAAAGAATACGAAACACTCTTATTAATTTAGTACTGTCATTATTAGGAAATGCAGAATTCAAGATTTCTTTCTCATTTAACGACTTTTCAAAGAAAAGACTGCTAAAACGTCGGATCTTTTTTAAAGCACTGGCGTCATTTGTAGACGAGAAAAAGATCAAATTTTTGGGAAGACATGCATGGCAACATTTGTCACATCATTTCTTGAATTTTTCTTAGTTTCAAAATATTTTGAAAAACTTTCATAAAGTTGACAGTAACATAGTAACTAAAGAACAAAGATTTCTACCAGGGAAAATCAGTTTATGCCACAAATTTCTGGAACTTTATCCGCAATTTTTAGAAAAAGTTAATCCTAATTTTTCCAAACTTTTAGAATTTATGAAGTTCAAATAAATAAATCAACCTGCAAATCACATATCATAACTATCTAAATGGTAACGGTACAAACCTGATGTATCTCATGATTTCCATCCAAATCAGTTACATTAATATCTGAATAATTATAAAGTAACATTTGAGCTACTGATGATTTTGAACTACTCTGCAGCATGTTGTAGTAAAGTGGTGTCAAGCCAAGTGGATCCCGATAGTTTGGTGATGCACCAAGTTCAAGCAAACAGTTGACATTTTCCGCCAAAGACCAATATGCCGCCTTATGCATTGGTGTCTATAAAATATTACAGGATAGATTAATATTCTGGGATATCAACAACATCACTTTAGTTTGTTTGAAGTGTATATGACTATATTAATAGTATAAAATCATTATAATAATAATCATACATCAAAATATTTTCTGCAAGAATTAACATTCTATGGGAAGTGAATCAAGCAAGCTTAATAAATAAACCTCATTTTCTTTCATCTAATCTTAAATTATGATTTAGTTCCAAAAGGCTTTACATTAAATAATCAAAAGCTATATTCCTACTTAATGAAAATATATAGTTTTAAAATATATTTAACTGAATTAACTATCCTCTTTTTTCATTTGCTAAATTTAAAGTATAATATTACCTGTCCATCACTGTTTCGGAAATCGACGTGAGCTCCATGTTCTACCAACGTTTTAATAAAACCTTCGTTATGTGGTAATGAACACACCATCGTCAATGGTGTCTTACCTTCATTATCGTGAAAATTAGGATCAAATCCCGCAGTACACAATTCTTCCGTCCGTTTTAGCTGTCCAAGAGCAATGTGATTCATGAATTTTTTCAAATTTGACTGAAAGATGAAAATATGCCTGAAGGAGAGGAATGGATTAAGTGCTTCTTCAAAGTAAATTATTCTGTTTTTTTCAATTAATTTAATAAGCAAGAATTTCTCAAAGCTAAATTAAAATAATTTACCTTAGTATGCAATTTTTCCAGTTGCTTTTCGTCAATATTCAACATTTTGTAAACCCGCTTTTTGTATTTGAGCTTAAATGAAAAATTTTGATTGTTTCTTATTAAAATTTGCTTTACTGTTTTGAAAAATAAATGAAAACTTCATAATGATTTATATTTCAGTAATTAATATGATTTAAACGAAATTTATTACTATTACTATATCTAATTTTTAATTTATAATTATATTTAAAATGTCATGAAAAGCAAGAAATTAGTGTGGAAGTTAAAGAATTTTTGAGATATAATGAATGTCTCAAAACTAAAAGTTTATTAAAGTGTCGACCAGACCATAAATGCTTTTGTTCTGTCTTAGAATTGATATCATGTGAAAATAACCTCAAGATAAGGGACACAATCATGAAATGGATATTCACGTATCGGACGGTCCTCCAGTAAGAATTTTCCAGCGCGGCCATCGCAAGGTGGCAGAAACAAGCCGTAGTTGAATGACTGAGGTAGCTTCTGCAAAATAATTCAGAACAAATCATTAATCACCAGAACTGTTTTCCTCTTTTTATCCTGTTATCACTGTTAACATTTAGAAAAATTGTAAAGTTGCTGACATTTTGAACTTATGATCGAATTTCAAGTAATCTCTCAAACAGTTGCGTAACGAAATTTAATCAAGAGATGCTAGTTTCAACCGAGAGATGAGCAAAAAATCTTTTAAAAGAAAACAAAAATGTCGTAAAATGTGAGCTTACATTCTGAAGGGCTTGGACAAGTCGCCCTTTGATTTCCCAAACTTTCTCATCAAGATTAACAACCAAACATTTCTATAATGCAGTAGTTTCCATATCAATGCTTTTTAAATCATAACCAGTCAGAAGACAATTTAATTTAAACATATATTTCATGCAGGATTCTCAGCATATAAAATTTATTTTGAGGATACATACTTTTTGTTCAAGTAGTGCTATGACAATAAGGAATACACAGTGTGAAAGATAAGTACAATGTACCGTATGGGTAATATCATACATGCAAAGATATGAATAGTGCATGAGTTGGCTACCGTATCACTTTTTTTTGTTTTTGATAGAGATGAAAAGTGATTGATCATCAGTGATCAAAGCAATACTGAAGAGGAAATGTTTGTCAGAGTACTGCTTTTTTCTTCAGCAAACAAACAAAAGGGATTTAAACCGCTAACATTGCTTCTACGTGTATAACTGGCCAATAACTTGTCAAATATAAAGAGTATCTCAAACAATGTTTAAATGAATTAAACATTCATTTAAGCATTAATTTCGTATATTTGCAAACATAAATTTGTGCTCTGAAGCATACAAAATCCCTCCTTATATGTCTTATAAAGAGTTTCCATGTAAGTTTTTCTCTTATCGGTCTTTTTACTCATTTTACTTTTTACAGTTCCTTCTTTTCCTCAAATTCTGAATCATAAACACCTCAAAATGAGTTAATCATAGATGAAAAAGGAGGTGCGCTGCATCGAAAAGTACATGAAATCTTTGGTTAACCTGAATATGAAGTTCTGGGATGAAAATTTGTATATTTAATACATCATCGTCTGCCATAATCATCAAGTATTCCACATTACTACCATACCTGATACATATGATCTGCAAAACAAATAAAATTTAAATTCGGTGTTTAGTAGTTATTGAAAAAAAAGCAAAATTAGCATTCATATTGCATCGAAATTCCTATTCCAAGTAAATTGTTAGATAAATTGCAAACTTATTTGAAAAAAGAGAATTAAGCACAAAAACAGAATTTAGTATAATAATTACGGCAGCATAATTGGCTTTCTCACAGCTTAACTTTTAAATATTAACTGTCATCTACTGGCTCTGAATCGATAATTGAGTAAATTATCCTACTTCATTAATTTATTTGACGAATTAATTTTAATAGCTTTTTTTTTGAAAAAGGAGAGAATTAAGCAGCAATACATTTATTATATTTAAATTAAAACGACAGATTTTCAACTAATTTATAACTTATAAAATATCTCAAAAATGATATCATTTAAATGAAGCACTAATGATTTCGAAAAGCAGTCATTTTACCTTCATAAATTCTGAAAAAATGAATTTGAAAAAATTGAAGCTATTTTTCCTTTTGTGAAAACCAATTGCTAAAGTGAAAAGCAATTTAAATCTTATTTACATAATTTATTCTCTTCCATAGCCAGCAATACTTCTATCTTTTAGCATTTAATTGCAGCTGACCACATACTGATCTTTTTGCTTTGTGAATTAATATTATTATACTGTCCTAAGCACCCATGCAAATATTCTTTAGTTCAAATTACTCCTTCATTCTCACAAAATTTCTATATAAAATTAAATAATTGAAAAAGCAAAAATACAAAATAAATTTGGTCGTAATAATTAGCAAAGAAAAGAAATTGAAGAAATAATAAGACATAAAATGATTTAATCAAACTAAATAATGCAAGACATATGTTTGGTTTCCTGAAAATACCAATGATATCATCTAATTTCTTAAATTACCAAAAAACATTTTTACAAGTGAATAGATTTTTAGTATTCTTTTCGGAAATTTTTGCATATAACTAAATTAGGGCATATTTCCGTTCAAAAAACCAAAATTTTGCCAGGCAAATTACTAAAAATGCAATTGCAACAATAAAAATTCATGTATTCTTATCCTTGAAAATTTTCTTTTTCAACGAGTGTGGAAGTTACGAATCAATGAACAAATATTCTTTGACAAAACAGCTGATGACAAAGTGCTTTGACACTAAGAAATTAAGAGCACTAAACCATCTCCTACATCCTATATTACAATATTGAACTATATCTGTAAAGGTGTATTCTGCTAACAGTAACGGTATAAATGCAGTATTAAAGAATTGCTCAAGTTAAAATTAATTGTCATTTGTACCATAATTTCAGACTTCAGTTCTTAATTCAAAGATGCCTTCACTACTTGTTAGTGAGCTAGAAAAGGCTTCTAGAGAGGCTCGACAAAGTGAATAAGATAACAAATTTATTCAAATTTACCACACTCAAACAACAATCTAAAGTTATCTAATTGAAAGGCTCTTTTCAGTGATGAATTATCGCTTATTATAAATTGCCATAAGATAATTAATGTGAGATTAAGTTAGAGATCATGAAGAATAGGATAATAATAAATTTAATAAAAGCCTTGAAAGAACCAACGTAGCATTTCAGTTGGAAAGTTTTAAAAAGGAGAAGTATATGAAATACCCAAAGAAAGATAATATGTAAGTGTCAGGAAGAATGACTTGCAGATGTATAAAACTATCATATTCATTTCTTCTCAATAATTTGATTTAATTGCTCGTAAAAAAAATTGGGAAAAAGGATTTAAACTAGAAAAGATTTCGAAAAAAGATTTAAAGTTATCATATTAGTAGAATTTCTTCTTCACTAATTTGAAAAGAAAAGAGTAGTATGTAAGATCTTGTGAATTTTGATTTACAAAAATAAATTCCAAAAGAGCAGAGCAAAAAGTGAGGATAGAAAAAAGTACAAATTTTGGAAATTTTCTCAATGGAGCAGAAATTCAAACAAGTTTAGATGCAAACATTGCTCTTTATATGTTCACTAAAACTTTCGTGCTCATTGCTCAATAGAATAAAGTTTTTATGAACTGTTGATTTCATTCATGAAAGTTCTCTTCAATTCTATTGATTGAAAAATTTCTTGTTGATATATGCAGATTGTCACCAGTAAAACTTTCACAGGAAAAGGAAAGACAGAAACTATCACAAAAATTGAGCCTAGCTCTCATCCTAAATGTGCATTTAGTAACCCTTATTTTACACTTCCTTTCTTTTTAATTTATTCACTTTGTCTCAGTCTTTCATTTCAGTTCTCAAAAAATCGAAATCAGCAGACTTTCTTTCTCCTCCTGCTTCTCCTCGTAAACCTTTTCTCTTTTTTTTAAATCAAAGATGCAAATTCTGGTTATCTAAATTCTAAATTCTTTCCAAGATAAAACTGATCGAGAAAGTCTTCTTGTATAAAATTGCAATTTTAAAGTCACAGAAAGAGTAGCCACCTATCTATTCCACTTTCAATTTCTTCAAAATTGAAGTTTTTAATCTTTTCAAACAAAGTTAAACGACTAGCTTACCAAGGCAGAAACAAATAATTTTCCAACAATAATGAAAAAAGCATCAGGAATTTAGAATAATGGAAGCGGAAGAAAAAATTTTTACTTTCCAATCTATCATATTTTCTGAAACATATGCACCTAATCTATTAGCAAAGCTTTTAATTTTCCAGAGGGAAATTTAGAACTTTTTGTGGAGCAAATCAATCGACTATCTTAATTTAACATGAATTAATTAGCGTTTACGGGTTGAAGGTCACGCAATCAACAGATACAACGCTTTGCATGCCAATTCAGTGCCAAATCTACCATAGAATTTTGCTTCTATATTAACCAGTACGTCAGACACTACACACAATATATATACATATATACAAATTTCAATTAACACATTTATTTAATTAGCATATAAAGAGTAAATGAATGGATGAATGAAGAAGCGAAGATTAGACATAACTTTAAAATTTTTTTTAAACCGCCTATCCTACAATGACACAAAAATAAAAATTTTCAATAAAATATAAGGGAAAAATGAAAGTGATCAGTTTTTGAAATGAGAATTTTTGAAATCTTCTATATTTGCAAAGCGTTGAAAGTTTTTTCTTTTTTCAAGTAGAGAAGTCACTACTGACAAAATTGATATCAAATTGTCCTTGAGGTCCGAATGCGATAACAAATCGGAAATTTCGCAGCAGTGAAATACATTAGACAGTTCGTTTGCGAGAACAACAAACAGCTAAGGTGCATCGAAATTCCGAGTGATTCATATGATTTTGAAAAGAAGAAAAAAAAACTGATAATAGAAAGAGAGTTTGAAAGCAACCATCAATAATGAAATATTTATAATCTTACTATATTTATCCTTACCAGAAATCATCTACATATTGAATATGTAATCAGCGGTCCGTTATCAAATATTTGGGGAAACAAGCAAAATGTGTTTCTAATTGTTATAAAATTAGGACAAATTTGTTAATGAATAATGATTGTTGCTATTTTTGCATTATAAAAACAAAATATTTCAAGGATGGTAATCATTCATCACAGACAAACCAAACTTTTATAAAATTATAGGATATTGACAAAATAAAGAGAGAAAGAGATGTAAATTAAAAAATCTCATTCCTTGTATTTATTTAATTGTCAGCCAATTAAATTCTGAAATGCTAAAGTACCATTCCACCAACCATCTTCACCCCATTGTTCTCCTTTCCCAGTGTTCACTATTTTTACTAAATTAATTTAGTAAAATTTCACAAGCATTCTTAATTTTTCTAAGAACTAATTGTCCATGAACTGATTGCCAATATTAAGACGTTATTGGATGTGCATTTCTGTTGTGTTATACGTTTGAGTTTAAAAAAATTAAAGAGTTTTTTTAAACTTGTGATTATCAGCGATCATTTTAAGAATACCGTCAATGAAAAATTTAGTATCAAGAATAAAAAGATAACGAAGGAATGTTGTAGTTGATGGCAGACTGAAAACAGAATGATAGTAAAATAACTAAAAAAATAAGGAGAAACAATGGAAATTGAATAGAAATAAAAATTTGTACAGAAATCAAATCTGTTGAAAGATTAATTAATTCAACGCCTTTGTTACCAGGGCTGTTACTTCTAGTATGAAGTGCGTTATAGCAAATTCAGTAAAATTCAATTTCAGTTATTGTGTAAAAAGATGAAAAGAATTTAGATAAACGTTTATTGACAACTGAATTGGAATCACTAAAATATTAATAGATAGACAAATAACTTGATAGCAGAATAGATACGAAGTCTTGAAGTTAACTTTGATAAATGTTAATGCATTATTTATATAACCACTTTTATCTCTTGATAATTGTTAGAATTCCGCTACCTCACAGGAATGGCTTTGGGATTATCTGAACATTCCTACAGTGATTCGTATTATGACATTTTTAAATATTTTTCCAAAATCATGTTTTTCTATTTTAAAAAGAAATTCGATCATAAAATTGATGCCAATGGCAGCTAACGATAATTGTCCAACTTCCATGAGAGGAAAAATGGGATACGGAAATTGATCAATCTCTGTTTTCAGTCACTGGGAAAGTTTGAAAGATGAGAACCACCAGCGCAAGATTACTTCATTATATGCAGTGCATATCCTAATTTCTTAATTGCTGTCCAATACGAAGCGAATTTCACAGATAGTTCGGAGGACTTTGTTGATAAAAGAAACAATTTCTTACGAAATAGAACCATATTAACTTGGAGATGCATTGCAGAGTGTTTCACAACAATTGCAATTACTGCTCCCTTAATTGACATCGTCAAATTAAAATTTCCACTTGTTGATGTCACTATTTTTAAATCACAAAAGATTGCAAATCAATTCAACGGTCATACAACCTGAATGGCCTTTTAATCACTATAAGTTATTTCTTGTAGCGAGAATTCATAGGGTTCCTGTATCAGTTACTCTAGATACTATCATTATT